AGTTAGAATCGTTTTTGCTATTTTCTAGCTTTGTTTTGAGTCGTTTAGGTGTTCTAAACCTAGATGATACAAGTTATAAGTTCGGATTTGTGTTCCGCAAGTTCACCATATGCAAAAGTGGGTAAACACTCCAACAATAGGAGTGTACGGCCGCACACATGGGTGTGCGGCCGCACACACCCTTCTGGCAGCACACTCGAATGTATATAGTAGAACTCATCCTTCCTTAAACTCTTTTCACACTCCTAATTCAAGAACACACTTCTCTCTCAACTATCATCCGAATTTTCTTATAGTTCTTCCATTGGTAAGTGTTTCTCCTTATGTTAAGATGATTCAATACACTTCCTAAGTAACAACATATGATTTCATCCATGAAATTTCTCCTTTTGTTTAGATCTTCAAGTGTTCTTCAAGAACACCAAGAACACCTACTAAGTTCCTGAGCTCCAAACACCCCCATACACTTATACACTGTAAGTACCCTACTCCTACATGTGTTTCGCTATATTTGAGCCTTGTTAAAATTCCAGAACTCGATCTGCAAGGAGTGTGCGGCCGCACACACTCATGTGGCCGTACACCCCTTATTTTTGGTGTTTTAAGGCCTCAAATCAATTAAGTATACTAGCAAACGATCAAACACACTATGGGATGATACAAGATACAACTTTAAAAACATGTTTTTGACCATTTCCCTAGGAGTGAGCGCGGCCGTACACTCCTGACCGCACACCACCTGGCCGCACACCCAATGGGCAGCACCACCAGGTGGCCGCACAGACCCTGTACGGCCGTACACCCACTTCAGAAGCTTTTGATGCTTCTAACACTTAATCTAAGTGTTTTCTAAGTCCTAGGGTATTTTACTTTCATGATTAGTGGTATATAGACTAATTATATTCATATATATGCCAATATATGCTCATTAGGGTCCGTTGTGCTCAAGCCTACACTTAACACTTAGCATCCTTCAACCCGATCTTTCATTCAGCCACTCACTACAGGTGAGTTCATTCCCCATTAATCAACCTTTTAAATGATTATTAAATGCTTTTATGGGAGGGGGATACAAGTTGAACTATTATAGTTATTATATCAATCACATGTGATTAATAACTACCAAATAAAGGATTTGCTACTCAATTAGCTGTTTTATCAAACAAACTACTTCAAACTGTTTTACAAACTCTTTTACATGTTAAATTACTTTTATTAAACTCTAATAAAATTATACTTTGTCAAATGTGTATCTATATAGATATAGTTATATAAGTAGGATTGAAAGGACTTAGGACTGATAACACGCCTTGCTTCCTGTTCCTTGTTTGGTTGTGGACTTAGGGTATCTGTTGTTTGTCCGAAGGTCGTTTGAATTTTAGTTATATATTATGTATATGTACATAGATATAAAAGTTCCTTCTTTCATTTCAAGACCTTTGGGTAGCAAAGGTATACAAACATGTTCATTCATACAAACAACATTACTAGTAAACTATAATAGGTATAGTTCAGGAAGTTACAATACTATTACTAGAACAGTGAAACACACAATGAGTCAGTTCATACATGAGTCAATACATACAGATAGAGAATACTATAACGAGAAACAAACATAACATACAGATAGAGAATACTATAACGAGAAAGAAACATAACATACAGATAGAGAATACTATAACGAGAAACAAAAGATAACATACAGATAGAGAATACTATAATGAGAAACAAACGATAACATACAGAGAGAACATACATACATACTAGACAGAGACAACATACAATACAGCTAGTACATACAATACATATACAAGAACATTACAACAGTTATGTGAGCCACGTAACGGGGCATGGCATCACCTGTCATGGCTCGTTTTGTATCCAGAATCTCCTTAAATGGGGAGCTTTGAATTTGTGTATAGATCTATACTGGATTGACTATCCTACACCTTGCTGCTCGCTACAGTGGGACTTGCAAGTCTACGGGTGCCAAATGTCATTTCTTCCGACGTCTTTCATCGTCGTGTTTATAGTCGGTAGTATGGTACAGGCATATCACATGTTACTTTAAAGAACATGTTGGTTTAAGGTAATTAGTACAACAGTCGTTACTTAATACAACACTACAGTACTTTATTATTTCCCCATTGCATTCACTTTGTGATCTTCACACAATGAACAGTAATATAAAACTATATTTTTGGTTAATGATAGTCATACTTGGGAAAATATACACTTTTACAAGAAACAAACATACATGACAGTTGATGCCTTGGTAGAAGGCTACGTTTAGTAGAAAATATAGGATTTTCTAGGAGATTCAAACATGTACAAACATTTACAAATATTTACAAACTTATACATCAAGTACTTACAAACACTTTCATACAAGCAATGACACTAAAATACTTATGATCTCACCAGCTTAAAGCTGATAAACTCTTTCAAAATAACTTGTATTCTCAGGTCACCAGTAGACAGGTACCGGTGCCCAGGGTTTGAGAAGATGGAGCTCGTACAAGACTCATATTTTATTTTGTTTCATATTTTTGGTGTCTATTAAACTTAACAAAACACACTTCTATTAATTTATATTATTAATGCAATGGATGATGTTGTTGCTTGTTTACTACTATGCATTGTTGTGATATTGTACATGACGTCCTCCACCCCTGAACGTTTCCGCCGTTCCGGTTTTGGGGTGTGACATATTGGGCCCATGCTATCATAAGCACATGATATATATTTGGGGCTGGAGGAACCACGAAGAAACCCGAGGACCTAGCGAGGAATGCATGTATGTTTGGTAGACCCTTTTGTGTCATTGTTCTTTTTGGACTGCATGTATTCAACAAGCCTTGCAAGTTGTTTATTTATTGTTGGCAGGTGGCAGAACAGGAAGAGATGCTTTATCGTAGTCTATGGAATCTCAAGGGTTATGGAATCCATGAAGAAAAATAGGTGTACCGATCTTTAATCTAAACAAGTGACACAAATAACTCCGTGGTAGTTCCAGAAGCATATATATATATATATATATATATATATATATATATATATATATATGTGTGTGTGTGTGTGTGTGTGAACGTTAGTATTGGGCCCATGCTATCATAAGCACATCATATATATTTGGGGCCGGAGGAACCACGAAGAAACCCGAGGACCTAGTGATCGGTACTCAGAGTTGGAATGCATGTATGTTTGGTAGACCCTTTTGTGTCATTGTTCTTTTTTGTTCTCGTTTTGATGTACCTTAGAGCCTGTTGACTCTGACGTTAGATAGTAATATGGTTGTAGAAAATCAAGCCTCAGTGTAGTAAGATGTTTGACGTGTGTGAAATCTTTGAAGATGACCACATTTTTCCTTAACATATTCTTCCTTTTGGAATCTAGTTGTTCGGTGTTGTTTTCGGTGTAGTTTGGTTTTCTGCCAATCGGACTGAAATTCTCTGAGTTGAAGAGCATATGTGTATTATGCTTATCGAGAGAGGGTATGTCTCACGAGAAAAATTTTATTATGTATTTTTTTTCTCCTATAATTCCTATGATGATGGCACTCAAGTTCCTAGCGAGGTGATGTGAGGTCTTCTTGACTCGATCGATTGAGAGTTCAAGGAAGACGATGAGCCTCTTCGATATGGAGTTTGCTCGGGAATATAGCGATGTTTTTCCCTGATGAGTTGTCGAGTGTATAAACACCACATCATGTAGAGCTGTATTTTGACCTTATCTTTGGTGTGGCTCCAAAGCCAAAGCATCTTTTAAGTCAGTTCATTCGGTAATGAAGGAAATGGTGACGTAACTCCAGGAGTTGTTTGAGTGTGAATTATGCGACCAAGTTCCTCGTCTTGGGGAGCGCCAATCCAGTTCATTAAAAGGAAGACGATACATGAGGCCGAGTATCAATTATCTAAGCTCTAATAAGATCAAGATGAAAACAAGTAAGTATTTACGTCCTATTCTTGTTTGGGATGTGATCATGTAACGAGGAAAGGTGACTATATATGCTTTGTGAGTACGGAACTCTATGGTTTTTTCCATCATTTGGACTTTGTGGTGAACAAATGGCTAGCAAGGAGGTGTGAGGTTTCCTTGACTTTTGTGATGGAGGGCTCAATGAAGTAAGTAGCTACCTTTTTATCGAGGTGGTCAAGGAGTCTCGACTGTATACCGTCGAAGGGTGATATTGAAAGTCTCGCCTTGGATGAGAATTTAGTGCCTGACCAGCAACATATATGTACATGATGAAGTACCATATAGTTATCATCTATTAGCAATGAGTTAGAGGATGTTACCTACCATGAGGAGAGTACATGGGATGAAAAATTGACTAATGGCGCTTTCTGTGGGAAGTCATTAAACTGTGAAAATACTTTTGATTAAACTAAGTAATCAAGGTGGTTGGGTAGAGATACAAGGACGGGATACAAAGTGCGACTTATGATCAAATCTGGGTATAACTCGGTAACGTTATCTAGAAAAAATGATGATGCAAGACTTAGAGATTCCAAGGACGTAATCTTTGTAAGGAGGGGAGAATTGTAACGACCTAAACTATTTTTGTTAGCAACGTTAATCTTTCGATATGTATAAATAATGTAACGTTTTGCCGGTTATACGTTTAACAATAAAAATTCAAAGGGGTTAAGTTGTTAATACAAAAAAAAACTATAAGTGTTTAATTGTTAATAATAAAAATAAACGGAATATATGTCACTACTAGAAAAAAGGCTTTCCTTGACAGACATTGTCTGTCGTAAATGCCTATACATGACAGACAAATGTGGTCTGTCATAAATTTTACGACAGACCTTTATTACCCACAATTATGGCATATATATATGTATATATATATATATATATATATATATATATATATATATATATATATATATATATATATATATATATATAGATATATTATATATATATATATATATATATATATATATATATATTCTAAATTTGTACCAAATATTAAACAAAATAAATTACACATTTAATGTCCAATAATGCAAAATAAGATATCATACATATACAAAAATACATTCCATTACACTAACTATAATGTCAAAAGGTTCTCTTGCAATTTTGGTTTTCATTTGAAGTTTTTGTAAGGTTTTGCTTCGGTCGGAATCACTGATTCCAATTCTGTCGGAATCACTGAGTCTGGTTCCACCTTCGGATAGAATTAAACTCCATTTATTTGGCATTGGAATGGAATCACATATTCCAATTCCGTCGGAATCACGGATTCCAGTTCCACCTTCATACGTTTCGTATTCTTGTTGATTGTGATAAGCATGGTTTAGCAACGTGTGACCACTTTCCACAAGATCCTTCCTAATATGCACCAGATTGATAGCTTTTTCTAAGTCCTCCAAAACACAAGCTTCCGAACCACGCAACTTCAAACAAAATTCCATCGATTCCAACACCGATGCTAAGCCGGCATCCAAACCTTCCAACCCTAAAATTAATCAAGGGTATTTTAGTAATTTCATATCATCTAAAACACACAAACACACACACACACACACATTTTATTTGTAAAGGGTATTATCGGGATTTCGATAAAAAGCCGAAACTTCTTGATCAATCAAATCTTTTGCAGCATTTGATATATCAATCATAACTTCTTGCAGCTAATGGTTGTTGACTTGATCCATTTTTCCACATGTGCAGATTCTTGTCACCAAATACATATGTAATTATGGTGTTTGTATCATCCAACATATGCATATGCTTCACAAGACCTTGATAAAAGTCAAAAAAAAAAATCATCAGAACTGCAATAATCACTTTAAAAATGTACATACAAAAGGTAGGAACATACAACATCTGTGAAAAACTTAAGTAGTTCTTCTCCATCATCTAAGGTGCGAACTCTGATCTTGGTATTTGATGCAGCTAATATTTTATCATCTATCATTACAAGAAAACAAACGTTAGAAGAAAAAGGTCAAGACAATTTAAGGACCATGTGTTGGGAAGACTCACCAGAAAAATATACAGATGAAGAGATAAGTTTCTTTGAGATTTTCATTTCTTTTAACAGTTCACCAGTTTCAGAGTTCATTTCGCATGTTGTTCCAAATTTGGTTATTTTAACCATCAATAATCAGAACATTTATGATCATGATCATCTTATTATTTGCTTAAAAATCAGCCTAGAAACCCTAATGAATGCAATATTCTTCACCTGAACAACAAAAGAGATTAAGATTAAAGAATACGGTTTGTTAATAGTAAACAAAGTTGAAGCCAATTATTTTCCAAATTCCAATAATAACCCTTGATAGCTAAGCAAATTGAATTACCTGCACAGGCAATCCAACTCCTAGTCTAGTCTTGCTATCAAGTATTATACTAGGGTTTCCATCCCAATTCATTTCCAACTCCATAGTTATTCCTTCACCTCCATCTTCAACAGTAGAAACTCCTAAACAATATAAACAATTGATAATTAAGATTCAAGTTATGTGGAATCTTCTTACTATGAAAAGATAAATGCAAATGGTAGTACTATCAATTAGCCTAACCTGTAAACTGAGGGGCCACCGTGCCGAGGGTAAACTTGGAAAATGACAAAGAGGACAACACCATTGGTCTGTATTGTTCAAGAGTTGGCTCCAAATTAGCCTTTATAAGCTCAGATGCTGCCTACGAGACAATCCAAAAACACATGATAAGCATATTACCATAATGATGGTGAATAGAGTGGTTTAAAATTTAAAACTGACCTCATCAACATAGAGGGCCAAATCTTTGTAAGATGAACATTAAGCCAGATCAACTGAAAGATTAAGCAGAATAATCAGTCCCTGAAGAAGATAAAAAGAAAGTGGAGAGAAAGTACATAAGCAAGAAATACTAAAACTATAAGAAAAAAAATCACTTTAGTTTATTTGAAGTGTAATAAATCACTTTACCCACATTTTGCTTCTAATTTCAGTTTATACTAACCCACACAAAAAAGAAATACTAAAACTGTAAGAATCGAACAAAACAGCTTGCATCCATCATTTCGTTCTTCATCTTCCCTGTCAAATACCAAAACCCAAACAATAAACCTAAACATCCAAAATTCTTTCTTTCTCACCGATTTCAGCCAAGAACACAAGAACACTTTGTTCTTGTTCTAGGGTATACCTGCAAACAGAAATAACAACATCATGTTTTTGTTTCCTTCCCTGTCAAACTAAAACCAAACATCAAACGCATACACATGTATTCTTCATCTTATTACTGTCGATTTCAAGGAACCCAAACACCCACTTAGGTTATATCCACTACTGTTAAACAATAAAGTCAATCCAAAAACCCCATCGATTTCCATCAAAATTAACAAAAAAAAAAGAGAAAAGAAAGAACGAAGGAGCTGTAGAAGCAGCCCCATACAATTACCTGTCTCTTCGTGAACCACCGCAGCTTCGTTCTTCTTCTTCTATCGAGCACCACTGCCAAAACCCCCATCGGAGCTTCTGTTTCCACTTGCCTTGCTCCATCGGGCCAAATGTCCTCCTTCCCGTCGACCAAACGCCTCTTCATCTTCATGACCGGCCCAAGGACCGAGACCTCCTTTGCCCTCGCTTCTCACTCCCGTTCGCCAACCCCAAAGCAGCGTCACTGCTTCTGCCCACGTCCTTCTTCGCGCTAGTCGATCACCGGAGCTCGCCACTCGAGTGCGATGGGTCTGAAATCGCCAGACGAGAAAGAGAAGGCCTCGCTGCCTTCGTCCCTTCTCCCTCTTCGCGATCGGTTAGGGCTTCCGGATTAGCGGCTGCGATCCTTCGCTCTCCTCCCTTCCCCGGTCGAGCCATACACCTACGACGGCCTCTGACGACGCCCAACCTACCGATTATTGAAGAACCATCGAACCCCTCCCATTTTTCGTGTTTCCTTCGTGTTTTCCCCCTCACTATGATCGTTCATAAGCTCGTTCGTTTGTATGCCCCTTTTCTTTCCCGATCGTTGAAGTCAAGGGTGTATTTCGTCATATACTATATTTATATATGAATAAACGTGTATTTGTTGTCGTCATATTTTATATTCATATATGAATAAAACGTTTATCGGATTTTTGTTACAGTTAATTTGTTATTCATATATGAATAAGTAGTATAAATGATACTTAAACTGTAAAAAAATTAACTATATATTTTTATTCATAAGTAAATAACGAATGTACTGTAGCAAAAATCTGATACATTTTTATTCACTTATGAATAACGATAGCTGAAAATATAAAAAAATAAATTTTTTATTTTATCTTAAAAGTATATCAATATGGATGTCTATTTGTAGAGAATAAAAATCATGAATTTTGGTATATTTAAATCATTTTTCGATAAAAATAGCTTCTTAAAAATTAAAAAAACGAAAAAAACTATGTTTTTGTATATATTAAAGTAATGATTAGCATGGTTTAAGAAAACATGTTTTGTTGGAAACACATTTGTATTCCTTATCCATTTCCGCTGGTACAACGAAGGTTTTTGCGGCAAAAATAAATAAGTGGCTGAGAATGATTCCCCAATTGTCAATCTTTTTTATTTTCTCAATTGAACTTACCTATATATATATATATATATATATATATATTATATATATATATATATATATATATATATATGTTTTTTCCATATCCTATAACTCATAAAAAATAAATCAATTCATACATTAAAATGCTCCTTGTTTCTTTTTTATTTAAAATTTAACAAATTAACATACGACATAAATGTATGACAAACAGTTTTGTCCGTCATAGATCATTTATATTTCATGAAATATAACAGACTTTAATGACAGACATTTTTATGTTTGTCATAAAACTGTTGTACGTCGTAATTCGTCTGTCAAGGAAAGTATTTTTTCTAGTAGTGGGAAATAGCTTCTCTCTCAAGAGGTCATCAGATATTTTCCATCTCTCACCCTCGACGATCTCATTTCTCTTTCTATGTCCTCACTCTAATCTCTCAGTCATGTCGCCCATTCATCCCTATTCCCCTCTCCCTGTTGCTAGCGTGAAACCACATGAGGCCAAGTCGCCATGAATCCTTGTCGGCAAGGCAACATGCCGATGGTTCCCTCTTCCCTCGCCTTCACTCTATTTTGTGGTTGCATAACAAGAACCTACAAACCATAATTATTCATACGCATGTATATATATGGGTAGATGTACGATCCTTTAGTGGAAACATCATTTTTCCATTCGTTCATATCCTATATCTTTAGTGGTTTTTTGGAGTAAAGCTCGCTGGAAAATGAATTTTTGTGATTTAAATAAGTTTTTATTCTTTTATTCATAGTATAACTTAGTGTTTTAGAACATTACAACAACCATTTAAGATTCATAAATTTCTATTAAACCGCTTTTATTATATATATATATATATATATATATATATTATACTACCTTATAATAGAAATCTCACTATTTCCATAAATAGATTCATTATAATAATAATATTTTTTTAAGATGTTCAAGTCTTTTAACTTAAAGTACAACCAATCATTAATATAATAATATTATAATATCTATCTTACAAATTATAATGCTTCAGATACAAGTATTAACAACACCTTTAAATCAGTATTTCCTTACTTTCAGGATTAAAGAGGGATTGAATTAGTATTTTAAATAATTTCTAATTTTTGACCCAGCTCCTTAAAATGTTGACGTATCCAATTTAAAATAAATGGTACAAAACGTAATGCACTATGTATAAATACCGAATGCAATACATACCTGGCTTCTTATCCTTCTCTGTTATCTCTGTTTATTTTGACCTGGTCTTTAGCCTATATCTCAGTAAATAAATCCCAAATTCGAAAACTCTAATTCTCCCCACCCCTTCTGTCTTCCTCTATGATAAATTCAAGGTATACGTTTTCGCTATCTTCTAATTCATTTCCTTTTATTACTCTTTTCTCTATGTTCCATGATATCAACCGTCGAGTACATCACTACAAATGGGAAGCTTCACCGGCAACTTCGATAATCAAGAAATGATAAACTTTCACCACCATCGCGTCAAAGTCGTCGCCTCTGAGAACCCTAACCCTAACCAACGTTCACAACCACCGCCACTCGGCTCACACTCCATTACCGGTTGTTTGTTTAATTTCCAGGTTCGTGTGCTTCCTTTTTATTCAAGTTTTCCTTTTATTTTATGGAATAATGGGATTTTGTTGTGTATAAATGAAAGTCGGGGTTCCATGTACATGGGTTGTACAGATATAACGATGCTCACATCTCCACCCATGTCACTGCATGCCACCACAATGGGCAGCGGTCATCATGACATTCACCACCATTACTGATCATCTGAATCTTATCCTTCATCTTCATTTTCTCTCTAAACCAAATTCTAGATCCATGGCCTTCACATCTCATATTCATATTTACCACCTTACAGGTAAGAAATTCTATCAAATGATTTACCCCTTCACTGACCTTCTTACTGTTTATCTTTATGTTGTAATTTTTGTCTTTTAATCGCAGGGTATGCAATTTATAGAGAATATTTCCATAGAGGAGGTAATTATTTCCTCTTTCCCCATTTAAAGGCTCCCTTTTTTGTTTAATTGCATAAATATTTGATTATGATGCAAATCTGATATGACTTAATGTGTATATGTGTTTCTTGGAGTTGTTTGCAAAGACTCATATTTTATTTGGTTTCAGAATATTTGTAAAAATTTTGCAGGAAGTGGAATCTGGAGTAAGAAAGCGACATGAATCAGGAAAAGAGGGTTTCATAGGTTCAATTTCTTCATTTCCTTCTCTGAATGTGGTAGTTTTGGTTTAATAGATTCGATTTCACAATCTCATTGGTATTTTTTCTTTAGGTTTGAAAGAGGCTTTCTAGATGAAAATGAACCAGAACCCGATTAAAATCCGATTTGTTATTTAGGATTTGGAACTTTTGATGTACTTTAAAAGAGGAGCCTTTGATTGTATAACAATATGTACTATATAGTGATTCACGCTCATATGTTCATATGTGGATACTTACAATGATAACAGTGGTGAAAGCATATGGAGAAGACAATCATCAAATGGTTTTAGACAAAAAAGGGGTTTCTAGATAGAGACGATCTTGGATTGGATAAAGTTACTGACAAGAGAAAGAAGAATCAGATGCAAAATATTGGGTTATTATTATTTGAAAACACCATTGAAAGAGGAGCAATTGCAAAAAAGAAGCAATTCATATGAAGATGGTAATTCAAAGAAATTTTTTTTATGTTTCATGTATTCTCGATTTTTGTGTGTGTGTGTGTGTCTTTCTTGTTATTTTGTTAAATCGTTTATATGACAAAAGATAACAATAATCATTGCTCGCGTTATGATGAATCTAGAAGAAATGTGCAAAATTTAGCCAAAATCGATGGCATTAGTAAAACACTATATGTATTTTGTCTCACAGGAAGTACTAAAAGAAACATTTTAAGTGTTGTTAGGTTATTGCTTTTTGCTTTTATTCTTTAGCTATTAGTTGCTTTGATCAGTCATTTTTTCAGGCTTGGTGTAACTTGAGAGTTTGGTATACATGCGATCTTCCACCTTCATCGTTTGGAGCACATGGTGTATGATACCTTCTTGATTAATAATCATATTTTTGTATCGTAACCCAACTTCTATGATTATCCTTGGTTAAGTGTTTAATCTTATGACGAATTGTTTACGTGTGATTCTATTTGCATAACTTTCAGCCTGCAAAGGCCAATGTCAATGCTGCTGCCTCTTCTTCAGTCCATGCAACTATTGTTTGTACATCATCAGTACCCGGTCCACCAACTCAAGGTTAGGTGTTATGAATCCAACTTTATTAATGTTGTACAAGTATTTACAAAAATACCCTTTCATCTACTTTCTGGCTTCTTAGTTTTCAACTTCTGACTGTGAAGTAGATCTCAAATCTTTAAATACAATGACATGTTATTTATTTCGAATGTGAAGTAGATATTGAATTTTCTAGCTTCTTAGGGATGTCATTGATGTAATCTTTGTATTTGAAACATATATATTTTTTCTCACATATTATGTTATTTCCAAGCTAAATTATAGGCACTAATAGATCTTGGACGGTTGCAGGAACATATGTTGCTGCACATGGGATTTACATTTCTTAGATCATCCATCTAAAGCAAAAAATTTGTTGGCAGCTAGAGGTCTGTAACATGAAAGGAACCCTCAAACATTGAGTTTTATGAGTGGTAAATTTGGCAGGTGGTAATTAAGAACAAAATGAATAGGTATCCAAATTTATTTTGTTTTCAAACTATGAGTAAAAAATGTGCAAGTTCAACTGTTTGAAGACATAGTTTTCTTCTTCTGATTTGTTGAAATCCTCCTCTTAACATGGCGTTATTCTTTTTTTCTTATGTAGTTTTGTAGGTGTTCTGTTAGCTAAGTTTCTTATTCGTAAGAGACATTTAGTTTTTGTTTAGTTCTATTAATTTTCCGTTCGTTTATATAATTTATCACAATTCACAATTCACAATGACACCCTCTCTGTAGCTAATATCCTCAAAGACAAATTCAAAACTTTTAGGTACAAAAAGGTTTTCTAGTGGTATATATATAAAAGCTGGAACTATTGAAGATAATCTTTCAACATCAAAATAACGATAGTTTATTGACATACAATTCAGCTCTTTTGGATTTGATAAGTAAGCCACCACCATACATAAATGGGTGAGTTTATCCAAGCCACTAACAAATTTGGATTCACAGAAAATATTTGTTTTTGATAAACCAATAGTTAGAGTTGTGTTGAACAACCCCTCTGTCCATCAGATATACAATGCAAAATAAGAAAATCTAAGCATAGTGGATACAAAATCCAAAAAGTTGCAGACTGTGTCTTTTCTTTGTTAAAAAAATAGACATGCCGTGTATATATGTCAAGAACATATACGAGTGTATGGTAAATCAGTCAAAGTATGAGCTAAAATCAACCATCCAATCTTCATGTAGGTAACCAAATCAAGATATGAAAACAAAATTTATATATATTTAAAACCGAGATGCGAAAAAAGACATGTTGAACTTCTAATATTTACAAAAATATTATTGTTGTTTCATTTTTATTTTTAGTGAGTTTTTCTAGACAAGAAATTGGAATGTTTAAAAAAGTATTATTATTTGATTTTTTATTTTATTGAGTTTTTTAGACAAAAAACTGGAACTTTATTTTTAGTGGATAATAAAGATGTTTAAATTTTTTTTTTTTGTAAAAGCAAATTATTTTTTAGAAAAAAATAATTAGAGATAAAGTTGTATACTACAAATGGTTGGCTTTGTAGTACATTAAAATGTTCAAAATAAGTAACATGCTATAAACCCTAAGACTTCAAAAAACCCAATGTCCTATAAAACAAATTTATTCATCACCTTTTAAAAGTGAATTATTTGTGAACAAGAGACAAATCACTATCAGCCACATTAAACAATGACATAAATAACAATATTTGTTTTACTAATATTGATTTGCTAACTTCCAAAAAGAATAATAATTAGAAGTTTCCAGTTGTCGTGTTTGACGAAAAAACATCGATCAAGATAGAACCGAAAAATCGAAGATTTTACATATTTGGTTAAAAAATACTTAAAAAAACAGTATGACAACGTATTCGTCAAAACAAAACTATTTGTCGTTGGTACTTAAAGTTTTATCCGAATAAAGAAAGATGACATTACAACCAAAATGACATTTTTCATGACAAAATATTAGTAAAACACTTATAGACTTCGATTAGAATTTGTAGTTATAATATTAATAGAACTTTCCTGTTAGAAACTATAAACCTTAAAAACTCCAATCACTAAATCGTAAACCTAAACTCTAAAAGTAACTACTCACGGAAAAAAAATTGCCGAAAAAACTATTCATTGTCCCCACCCGCTGCATTGTGCAAATTATAACAATTTATCAACAATATAAGTCTCCCAAAAAACTATTGTGATGTGGTATACAAACCAATTAAAGATTACACATCAAAAATAAAAATCAATAAACGAACATCATAGCTAATTAGTACTAAGTCTAACATAAACAGATAAAACTAATTTTGAAATAAAACTATTCGTAATAAACGAACAAATAACCACAATCCACCGCACCAACGCAAATACACACCATCACATCACTTTTTCTTTCCATTAACAGTCTCCATCTCCGCGTGAAAACCGCCGATGGACATATATTGCATATCTTTTAACCAACACAGCTACTAAATATAACTAATTGTCGAGAGATATGTCTACCGCCGCCGCTTTGCGCGGGTACACCACTAATATATATATATATATATATATATATATATATATATATATATATATATATATATATATATATATGGAAAAGTTCAACAGATAACCATAATTATTGGTTCTCCAAGGAACCAAATTTTTTTTTCAAGTTCTAGAGTTTATTCTTTATTAAAAAAAAACTAAAAATATCTAAATTCATAACTTAACATTGTGAATGTTAAATATAATTTTCGAATTAACCGTGTGAATTTAGATTCACATTGTGAATTTTCAAAGATTCACATTGTGAATTTGATGGAAATTTTTTTTATAGAATTTGATATCATTGGAAAAAGGATAAAGAGTTATGAATTTCTGTATTTTTAGTTTATTTTTTTGATAAAAAATAAGTTCTAAAAGTTGAAAAAAAGATTGGTTCCTTGGTTAATTATGGTTCTCTATTGGAACCTCACCCTATATAATATATATAATATATATATAATATATTATAGATCTATTATATCTATATATATATATATACAAGGTTGCAGAAATCGCTCGACGTAGGCTAATCGGTGGACTGGGGTCAAAGGATTAATCGGCTAGGCGGGGATTAATCGGGGACCATTAATTATTAAAAAAATTATTAAAATATTAATAAATATAACATTAATCCTAAGAATATAAGTAAACAAGTTAACAAGTTAATAAATATAACATTAATCCTAAGAATTAAAAAAATAATCACACAATCAAACTAACTAATCTCATTTTTTGTTAAAGACGTGAATAAGAGACCATCAACTATGTTCTTATTAGCAGCAAAACTAACAATCTTGAAGATGGGTAATACAACATCTGAACATGAGCCATGTTGAATGTCAATTACTGGGTCCCTTTTTGACCAAAGCCAATGGAAATGCTGTAAAATCTGACAAACACAACCACACAAAGTTTCTGGAGGACAACCTGCCCATGAAGACAAACTTAGTAAACCTACATCAAGAATACAACAAACAACCTAAAATCAATGAAGTTGTGAGTCGAGCAATTCCATTCTTCTTTCACACAAGCATTTAATCGAGCACATGGTATGCATAGACGCTTCTAACATTGTTTTGATTCAATAACTGTGTTACTAATTCCAATTTTCCAACCTCGATAGATTTTCAACTAGTTTGGAATTGACATCGATAGATTCCAATTTGTCCTAATTCCAATTGATATCGAATACATTCATACAAATTTCAACTCCTGTGAATTTATTGAAAATCAATTTCAGATACACAATCATTACCTGATGTGGTTGTCGACAAGTTTGACGATGGCCTGCGAAGGAGACTGCAACGTGCGACGGTGGCACAGGTAGAAAAGAAGGTAGCGTGCAATGGTGGCCTGCGACAACAAGGATCTTGGAGGTTCAATGGCGATAGAGCACAAGTCTTGGAGGGTCAATGACGACAGAGATGGAATAGGGGCCAGAGGTCAAAGAGGAGCATAAGTCTTGGAATTAATCGATTATGGTGTACAAGTCTTGGAATTGATCGAGTGCAATTGTTGGGTTTAGACATGCTAGAGTTTTGAAGGCAACGTAGGTCGATGGAGATGGGGCAAGGGGTAAAAGGAAAATGACGACCAACAATATAGGGAAAAGAACGATGAAGGCAACGCATGGAAGAAAAAATAAGCTTCAGTATCCCACATCGCCAACGGGAGCATTCTATGAGGGCAAATTAGTTCTATAAAAGGGAGCATGTTTCTATTCACTTAAGAAAACCCAAGCCAAGTATATTTTAGGCAAGCGGCTCCTTTGAGCTGGCGGGTTTAAGCCAGTTGGGTCGATTTTTGGGTCCGAGTCGGGCCGAATTAGTCCGATTTGGACCGTCTTTGACCGATGTTGACCAATGCCGATTAATTAACCCTCTAACACCTATTCATAGGCGGTTGGAGGCCGCCAAGAGCCAAGGCACCGATTAATCGACCGCCTAGACCGATTTTTGCAACACTGATATATATATATACATATATATATATATATATATATATATATATATATATATATATATATATATATATGGTTAGGTTCATGTGAGATGACATAATTTTGTGAGACCGTGACACGCAATTTTAGCCACCCATTTTGTAGATAAAAAAAACATTTTTAAAATGCAAAATAATTGAGAATTTTCGAAAAAAAAATTTCAAATATTATTTTCGTCAGATAGGTCAAAAAAAATTAAAAAAATACCAAAAAAAATAAAAAATAAAATAAAATAATACCTTTTTTTTACATATTCTATTAGGATATTAGAATATTTTTCATACCTGACAAATCTAATAGAATATTCTAACATTCTAAAAATCACATTACAATATATACAGTGTAATATTCTATTAGAATATTTCACGTATATACAATGTAATATTCTATTAGAATATTTCACGTATTTTAAAAAAACGGTAATTTTTTTTATTTTTTTATTTTTTTAGGTAATTAAAGTGACGAAAATAATAATTAACAAATTTTTTTTTTATTTTTCCTTTTATTTTGCATTTTAAAATTGTTTTTAAATTTGGTCTCACGGTCTCATAAAATTAGTATGGTCTCAAATGAACCTGAACATATATTATATATATATATATATATATATATAATATATATATATATATATATATATATATATTATATATATATATATATATATAAAAGTTACATTTTAAATCCATCTAATCTTAGATAAACCTTTTTATTCCCTTTAACTTAACTCACTTTATTTTAAGTTAATTAATTAATTTATTATTATCATTTATTCTTTTAAAACATTAAAAGAATTACATATTAGGAATCGGGAAATGGGAGTTATGTGACAACCTACTTTTTTTTATGTTAGTAAAATTCAATCAAAGTCAACAAAAGTCAAAGCTTGTTAAATAAAAGTCAAACTTATGAACTATTTATTTAATAGAAGCTTATGTAATGTTTTTATATAACTAAACCTTATAAATTGATAAGTGTAGTTTAATAAAGATCCAAATGCGATGACCGAAAACCCTCTCATAAGTCCAAGCATTCGCACCGCAAACTCTTTTCGACCGTAAACCCCTCGGACTGTGAACTCTCCTCTGACCGCAAACCATTTTCAGCC